GAGTTCTAACAAGATTATGCTGAACAGTTGAGCACTAGTATCATTATTTAAGGATAAATGTCACCTAGTAATTGACCATCCATATCTACTAAGAGTACAAAGTTCAAGTGATATTAGTCTTTCTTTAAAATGCAGTGCTGAATTAAAAACAGCACTTATTTTTGAGTCCTTCTACAATACTCTGTAGATATTGTTGCCTGGAGATCTAACAAGATTATGCTGAACAGTTGAGCACTAGTATCATTATTTAAGGATAAATGTCACCTAGTAATTGACCATCCATATCTACTAAGAGTACAAAGTTCAAGTGATATTAGTCTTTCTTTAAAATGCAGTGCTGAATTAAAAACAGCACTTATTTTTGAGTCCTTCTACAATACTCTGTAGATATTGTTGCCTGGAGATACACTGAAAATACTGGCTGAAGCAATAATCCCATTACTTTGGTTCAGATGTTTGGCAAGGCTATCTAAAGTATCATCGTGGTTGCTTCAGGATCCCAGGAATGTAGACTTGGAAGGTATTATACCAAAGGCCATCTAGCACCATCCTTGCCAATGTAAGAAATCCACAGTTAAAGCAACTTGATAGATGGGCATGCAACATCTGTTTAAAAATCATCCATCAAGAATAAACCATTCATTCATTCATTCAATAACTTCCTGCCTTTTCCCAAGAAGAGAGATCCAAGGTGGTTTTTGGATTTGACATGCTAAAACAACATTTACTTTTGGACTCATCATACTAAAAGGAGGAGAGTAAAAAAAAATCCCTTACCCGGTTGTATTCTACAGCAGATTCATAACTGGGAAAAATACCATAGTCCTTGAAGGCAATAACAGATCACCTCTCTCTCAAGAGGACATACCAAGGCTACAGGCTTATTTCCTTGAGCCTTCTGTTCCTCACGAATGACACTCATAAATAGTTTCAGTATAACATCCGCACTGTACGTTTAGTACCTATGCAAACATCCAGGGACCTTGAACATTACGTTATTAAGATCCCTTTCTTTTTTGGCTGCCTTCTGAAACACGACCACACTCCAGGCGCTTCCCTTTCCCTCGACTAAGAGACAGAAAATTGACTGAGTCTGGCTTTCCCTGATCTAATTTGCACTAAATCAATATATTGTAACCTGGGCTTTGACAGGTCTATGACGAGAGAGAGCTATAAATAGAGGGATGCGAGAAGGACAGCATTAAAAGAAGATCTTGCTCAAACAAGCATTTCTTCTAGATTACAAGACAAGCTGGCTGGAAGGGGAAAGCAGTTTAGAAACTACAAAGGTTGCAAATTGTGCTCTCTTTGGGAAATAAATGACAGAGAATAAGGAGGACGGCATGAACTATAGCCCTGTTCATCATACATTGATGAGTTTATGCAAACAATAAAATATGCTCTTTTCTTTGTCCTGCCCCTGATTTTACGTGTAGAGGGAATTAGGACATGATCAGATGGAGGCAGATCTCTTGTTATGGACTGCTTGTGGAATAGCCCAGCGCAAGCCATTTCAGGCGATCAGACGAGATGGTGAACCAACAAAATCCAGACCTTTTCGGCCCAGTGGTAGCCTTATTTTTTTTTTTTGGAGCTAGGATGGAACTATTTCGAGAGCATCAGCCATGATCCTTTACTGCTGTCTGTTTATTTTTATTTAATTTATTTAAAATATTTTTACCCCGCCTTCCTCCTCGAAAGGACTTATGGTGGCTGACTCACACCTGAGTCTGAAGAAGGAGTTTCTTTACTATGCACGGGAGTTTTCCCAGCTCACAAAGAGAACACCAACGCCGGCACCACTGCCAATACAATTCTCCTTCTTCAGATGCATTGTTTTCCACACTTAGGAGGGCAACAGAAGTGACAATGAAAAGTACTGTATGACATTCACACGAAAGGACTCATGGTGGCCGACTCACACCTGAGTCTGAAGAAGGAGTTTCTTTACTATGCACAGGAGTTTTCCCAGCTCACAAAGAGAACACCAACGCCGGCACCACTGCCAATACAATTCTCCTTCTTCAGATGCATTGTTTTCCACACTTAGGAGGGCAACAGAAGTGACAATGAAAAGTACTGTATGACATTCACATTTCTTGGGGAGACCACACTTAGCACGCAAATGAGAGGCTCCTGTGTTTCTGACACAGGTTT